TGCCGGTGGATGTGGTCGCATTTTCAAAGCAGACGACGTTCAAAACAAGTCGAAAAATTGGCCGTCCAGATCCTCATAAGTTACGATATGATTTTTTTGCAGAAAATCAGTTTTTTGTACACTCGATTGAAATAAACTGGTCGAAAAAAGTTCAGGATATTGTCTTTTCGCTATGAAGACTTTTTTCTAGAAAAAAATAAGGATGTTTTCTATTCGCTATGGAGAAATTTTCCAAGAAAAAATGTGTGTGGGTAGGTAATACTATTTATGTCGTTTACGTTTAAAGACGAAGGTCGATTTCATAGGGACAGACCATCAAAAAAATATATTATGTACAGTGTCTTTCAGGGAGTTGAACATTATATGGGAAAACTTTTTGAGGATAATTTATTTTGAAATTGGACTTGTGTTTCGCATCGAAGAAGATGAAAACTGGCCCTCTCGGTCAGGGGGTCACGTGACTTTCGGTACGTGTCAAAAATAACAATTTTTCAAATTATTCCTTACAATATTTGGTTGAATTTCCCAACAAAATTTGTTTCTATTTCGATTTTACACAAACATGTGTATCAAATTTGAAAGTTCGCTCTGGCAACCTTTATATATTGATATTTTTTTCAATTTCTTCGAAATTTCTGTAATATAAAAAAAATCAACTTTGTCAAAACTGTTTGATACCGGTAGCTCTATCATGTCACTAACATTCAATCACTAGTTATCGATAAAAATATGTTTTTCTTTAAAAAATACTAATCCCCTTGAAATTTCAGTTATGCTCGATGCAAAGTTGTCAAGCGGCGCATTTTGGAAGGAAATTTATTCAAATGGATTTTTCCAGTACTGAAATGTTGTCAAAGTAATCTTTTAAAATTTCACCAAACTACTTCACGTATCTAACCAAAGTTCAGGACAGTTTTGTTGGAGTTGAATCTTTCTCAATATCAGAAATTTTGTAGAAATAAATATCTATCAAAAACTGAAATTCGCAATAAAACGTTCACATTTGAGACACATGTGTAAAGGCGGAATAGAAATAACTTTTCTTGGTAAACGTTTCTGAAATTCAGACACATAATCCTATTTTTAGCAATTAATTTGAAAAAAAAAACTCCTAAGTAGTAGCGTAAGTTACATGACCTTGACCGACTAGGCCATTTTTCAAACAAAATTATTAAAAAGTTATTCCATAGGTATGATGCCGACTTCCTGAAAGACGCGATAAATTGTATCAAAGTTACCCAATTTTATACCTAACAAAATGTCGTTCTGAAATTTGAAAGATTCCGATTTTTGAAAGAATAAACGAGAATTCACGATTTCTTTTTTAATTTTTTATTACTCCATTTGAATGGATGTAACAAGACGAATAACAAATTCTCGTTTTTACTTTTGCTGTTCTAAAGGATGGTATTATCAGATTTTCAAACCGACGTTTCGTCTTTGAGCTGTCATCATCAACTTTGATTTTCCAAATACGACCGTAAATTTTTTATTATGGATTTTGAGAGCAACGGTATGAGTATCGCACTTATTCCAAATATTCATATTAATGGCATTTTCAATGAGAACTCATGTGTTAGAAAGAGACAACTAATATATTTTCAATCGGATTAGAAATAAACACCTTTTTCGAATAAGTGCGATACACCGTTGTTTTTAGGAGATCGAAAGCTCTCAAAATCCATAATAAAAAATCCAGGGCCGTATTTGAGAAACAAAGTTGATGATGGCAGCTCAAGGATGAAACGTCGGCTTGGAAATCTTGTAGAACAGCAAAAGTAGCAATGAGAATGTATATTCGTTTTACTTGATTATTTGGGATTTTCTCTCCTCGTTTCTATAAAATAAAAATATGAGAATCTGCTCCAGTTCTCAACATAAAAATGCAAAACATTTTTCTTTGTAAATAGTTTTCTTATAGTTTGACACTGCCCAGTAACATACTGATGTTGGCATATGGATGAGTGATGAGAAAAATCAAGGAATCCACTTGCATTCTTCTGAACGGAGACAATAGCATTGCTTCCTGTTCAGAAAATGGAAAATGGTAGATTCAAGATCGATTGATAAAAACATCCTTCAACTCATTTGTATACTAACATCATCTATATGCCACTGAGAGGTGTCAAACTATAAGAAAAACATTTTCGAAGAAAAATATTTTGCATTTATATGTTGAGAACGGGAGCAGATTCGCTTCCGAAACGTCCAAAGATTAGTGAAAATTCGATATTTTTTCATTTCATCTATATTTCTCCTCAAACATTTTTCCAAACAAAGTGTCACTGACAAGCTATTGGATTTTTCTTTTAGGATCCCTGATAGAAAACTTCGTTAAACGCAGTGACATTTTGGGGCGAATCCTCCAATTTGTCCTACTACACATACAGGGTGGCATTGAAATAAGTGCAAATATTTCAAACACTGAGAAAGCTCGACGTGTACCATCGAATGGGACTAATGAAAAAAATTTAGGGATCAAAATAAAATTTTAGATTCCTTTTTCCACCCAGTTCTACACTGTAGCAAATCTGACGTTGCCTCTGTTCAAATTTCCGTGCCGTAGCCACAATCACGCGGAGTTCAATCATTTAAATTGTTTTAAAGTGGCGTACTTGATTTTTTTCTCGTATTTTGTTCAATTTTGTTCAATTTTTTGGATGAAATTTCTCGTTAATTAGAAGAATTAGAAAAATCTGATATCATAGGACTATTCCTTAGAATTTATCATATTAATGTGCTGAATATGTGCACTTATTTCGAAAGCACCTTGTATATTGAAATAATACTCATATTTTCCTTTTATAGTAACGAGGAGAGAAAAACGCAAATAATTAAGTAAAATGAATGTACCTCCTCGATTAACATACAGACAGTATTTGAGAATGTGTAATTTGTTTTGTTACATATATTCAAATAGAGTCATAAAATGAAAAAATTAAAATGAAATCGCGAATATTCCGTTTTAAAATTAAAATGAAATCGCGAATATTCCGTTTTTCCAAAAAATATTTGTAATCTTTTAAATTCCAAAACGGCATTATGTAAGACGAAAAATTGCGTCCGACCCTACGGTTTACGAGATCCTAATGATGAGGCTCGAATTCCAGCCACCCTGTACATATACAGGGTGTCCCCAGACCAGTGGGACAGTTGAATATCTCCTAAACCAATAGGAATTTTCAAAATATTATAATTTCACATCATATCGCATTATGAGTGCTAACTTCAGGAATGAGTATATTTTATACGAGGGGCGCAAGAAAGGCTCACAAAATCGAACATCAATTTTTTCAAATGGAACACCCTGTATTTCATTGCATTTTCACATTCTCCTTGAAGAGCTGAATGCAACGACCTAGCACACTTGGGGTCTAGCGGGAATGATATCCGAGATATGGGGGGTGAAAAATCGAGATTTTTCATTTTTGGGAATTTTTTGTGTCAAAACTATTCATTATTGGTCAAAACGGCTTACATGTCCATATGTCAACTTTTGATTTACTATTTGCTCGTATTTAATTGACACAAATACAGGGTGGTGTAGAATTCTCAGTTTCAGTCAGTCGTTGAATTCAGCTCTTCAAGGAGAATATGAAAATGCTTCATTCCCGCTAGACCCCAAGTGTGCTAGGTCGTTGAATTCAGCTCTTCAAGGAGCAATGAAATACAGGGTGTTCCATTTGAAAAAATTGATGTTCGATTTTGCGAGCCTTTCTTGCGCCCCTCGTAGAAAATATAGTCATTCCTGAAGTTAGCACTCATAATGCGATATGATGTGAAATTATAATATTTTGAAAATTCCTATTGGTTCAGGAGATATTCAACTGTCCCACTGGTCTAGGGACACCCTGTATATTTTTCTGATCGTCTGCCCCTATGGAATCGTCCGTCTGCACATGTTTGGTTCATATATTTCCATCGAGTGTATAATAAACTGATTTTCTGCAAAAAAAATCAGGTGGCAGTTTTCCGATATTTTTGTAGCGTTATTAAGCGACCACTCTTGGCTGGCAAACGCACGGTTCCCATTTCGATGCGGAATGTCATTCTTGTGGTACTGGTACTGGTAGAAGTAGGGGACGTTTGCACGTCAGGAACTAGTCCCTAATGGGACCTTTTTACAAACCCCAATGTGTTTAATGAGTGATGTGGTTCACTTAAGAGAGCTGGCTAGCACCCTTTTCCAGGTACCACCCATCAGCTCTCTTTCAGAGCTTTTCAGCTGTGTTTTGTAGGCTAGTAATGTACGCACCACGATACGCTTCAGTGGCAGACCTGCCAGCTACCTCGTTAACCCTCGAAGTTTTCCACACCCACCTACATAAACCGTCCTAATTCTTTTCTGAAGCTCACAACCACATCATCATGTCTTTCTGTGTGTTCTGTGCAGGCTTTATTACTAACTCCATGCGCAACTTTAAGAGCAGCACTGTTGATTGGAACGCAACATTGAATCGTGCAGGACTATCCCCAGCCGATGCTCCAAAATTCGTGAATTAAATATTGAAAAAAGTTCCTTGCTCTGGCTGGGAATCGAACCCACAATCTCGCGGTCGTCAGTCGGGCGCTCGCCCACTGCGCCAATCCCGCAGTCATTCTTGTGGCGACAAATTGTACTCCTGTCTCGTGGTCTATGACATAATTGAATTAATAGGCTTCAGATAACCAATTAATAAATACTACCAGATAAATTAGCAGGTCAATTCACGGTCGCTAGGTCATTAGATGACGTTCCGATGACATTAAAAATTACGAGAAAACATCCTAACTCCTGGCATAGATTGAAAGTTAGACATGTTTTCCCGTAGTTTTTATTGTCATAGCAATGTCATCTAATGACCTTGGCGACCGTGAAAATTCTCACATATTATGACGGACGAAGAGGTTCGTGAATTTTTCGAGATATCAGCGTTATTCTGTCAGTGCTTCCATGATCTGATTTTGAGACATATATTCTGGCAGTTGAATATAGTAATGAATAAAACTTAAATACTCACATCGACTATGTTGAACAAAATTCACTGCCATATTAGTAGGTACAAACTGTGAAGGACCATCTTTTTTATTTTGTTTCTCCCATAATAGCCTCAACTTAGCTTCTTCTGTTGCTTCGATATTTTTAATCTTTGCTTCAATACCTAAATCCACCTCAGGAATACCACTCAGCATTTGATTGGATAACATTTCTTCTGACTGCTTTGCAGAGGATTCCCTAAAATTCATCTTGTAATGAAGGACCACAATTCCACCATACATCAAAAAGTGGCATTCGTTTATGAATTATTGGGCATCAAATATGATTTTATAAAAAATGCTGTGATCCCAAGTTGATAACAGCACTGTTAATTCAGCCCAGATATTATAACACGTGTTACAGAAAATTGGAAATCTTTGCTCTGAGGATTTAACAGTCAACCTTGGGAGTGAAGGTCCGAACGCAAACCAACTGTATACTGTATACCAATCTTGCCCTATTCTAAATAATGATGGATGGATATGTTTTTATCATTGGATACCTACATGATCTCCGACTGCTGTTCGCAGATAAGTCCACGAAAAATAGGATATTGATAAGAAATTATTATTTCATCTTGAGGTTTTACTGTATTAATAATAATAATTGAAATCTCCGATGTAGAATGCTATGCCAGAGATTTGAAAGCAATTCAATCGTCGGAAATCGTGCTCCGAAATGGTTTGTCAAAAGACATGGAACAAATAAATATATACGATAATTCTACAAACAAAAAGTTCTATGACAATTTCGTTGTAGAGCAATAATTTCCATAATAGTGCGGGAGTTTTGCTAGAATATTCCAATGTATTGTGCACGTTTTGATGAAGACGCCAAATTTGACACGGAGGTAGACTGATATGATATGAACAAATTTGTAAGTAGAACCAAATGCCCCCTGGCGGCGATGGTGACCATTTTCGAGAATGATCACTGCTGAAGGTTTGTGAAAGTTTTCAATGAAATCAAATGTGATAGTAATCCTTAGATCATCGAGACACTAGAGGCCGCATCATCTATTACAGACTAATACCATGATTGGTTCATTTTTAAACCGCGCGCAGAGCACCAATCCGATCGGTAGTCGGTACCAAACTCAAACAAAGTCTTTCGACTAAGTACCATGGACGTAGTTGAAGGAGACTGAAATAATGTACACAACTTCATCCAAGTACTCAACGAAAGTACACAAATAATTAATTTAAGCCACAAAAGGAATTTGAGGGACCTTTGTTGTGCCATGTTATTATCTGCTCAATTTCGATATTGAGAGTTAACAGGTCGAGAGTTATTTCCTGCGATAAGCAGATATTACATACTGTTTACAAAGTGCTATGCCTCGATCAATTTTAAAATGAAAATGACAAGTTTTGAAATGAACCTGACGAAATTTTAGATTCAAATGATTTTTTTTTTTTTAAAACGACATGACACTTGTATTTATATTTCAATTTTAATCTTGATGCCTGATGAATAACATTTTTCTATTAATTATAGTTTCATTTTTATTTATTAACAGTTGATGAAGGACGTTCAATGATAAAATATGCCTATAAAGTTGAGATTAGGTTGAAACTAATCCATGTATTGAACTGGATTTATATTATGTTTGGAATTCATCGAGTGTTGATAAAATAGAATTATCTGCTGTAATCACTTCTTTCTGGCCACACTCCATCGAGCACAGCACTCCTTGACAGTTACCTACGACCTGTCTTACACCGTGCTAATCCCGAATATAGATGACTAGTTCCCCCGAAAGGAGGAACTACTAAGAGCAGACAGCTGTTGGTTCACAGATGGTTCAAAAATACCCACAGGCTCTGGTGCTGGTGTATACGGTCGCAGACCTAGGACAGAGATATCAACATGTCTTGGGTCCTTTGCAACCGTATTTCAGGAAGGATTCCTGGTCTGGATTCCTGGCCACTCCGGTATGGAAGGTAACGAAACGGCAGATTCGCGTGCCGCAAGTAGTTTCATTAAACCACAACCTGCCATTGGCATCGCACCAAGTTTCGACAAACACATATCGAACACCTGTACCGCAAGAAGAGTTTTAGACTCCTGGCAGAAAAGTAATGTAATCGAATTTAATATGTTGTGAAATATCGCATGTATATGAAATCATCTTCTGACGTCTCACCTGCCTGATAGAGGTGGAGCAAACGGAAGGTCGTTTTCATGCTCATCGAGGTCGATTCATTTGGGTACGTTCGTGCAGGTATCCGCACAGTTTATGCAAACTTGAGGACAGAACAGACCTGCGCACCTGCATCCACTACGCCTACCACAGTTAGTGCGGCATTTGCATGAAATTTGCTGCATTAATTTATCATGAGCCGGAGGTTTCAGTGACCACCACTTCCACTTCCAACCCCGCAGTTCTGGATCCAAAATGTTGTCAAGCCACTGCATGCTGATTACCTGCAGCATCGGTGGGAGGGATGGATGCAATGCTGCTGGAGTACCTACTTGAAGAGAAGGGGGCAGTTAGCCGCGTGGTAGAAGCGTTAGTATTCTAATCGCGATGGCTTGCCGGTCGTGGGTTCTAATTCAAGACGACTGCAGACATTTTTCTGATGGCCCAAGAAAGTGTTTGGGATCACACATTGAGTAAGACCTCCATCATTCCTTTGGTATTGGTAGGTTGGATGGTGACAGATGCGCTGCGACCTAATTAGATCTATTGTGTCCCTTTGACTTCTGCTATATCAAGGATTTATTGTTTATTCAATTCCTTCAGGAATTTGAGGATTTTGAGGGGGTCTAGTTGTGGTATTTCTTCCAGTCAGCTGGTGTGTTCCCAGTATGTTCAATCTTTTGTGATGTACAGCGTCACACTCCATCAGTATGTGACGGGGTGTTTCTGGTTCTTCCTCACAGAATCTGCAGGAGCCGTCCGCCTGTAAACCTAGCTTCCTTAGGTGTTCTTTGAGTCTGCAATGCCCCGTTAGAAATCCCGTTATTGCTTTGAGACTTCCTTTGCTGAGGTTTATCAGTGTCTTAGATCTTTCTCGGTTGAAATGTCCAAGGAGATCTTAAGCCTGCCGTAGTCCTGGAAGTCTTCTCCATTGTCTGGCTCTCAAGGCTCCTTCCGTCTTTTCAAGTTCTCCTTGGAAATAGGAATTTACAAGGCCGCAGAATGGCTCTGGTCCGATCAGTGGCGTTGAAGCCCCTTGTCGTGCCAAAGTGTCTGCTTGTTCATTCCCCTCCACTCCAATATGCCCTGGCACCCAGAGGAGTATCACTTTATTTTTGCTGCCTAGCTCATTCAATTAGCTTAGGCATTCCCATACCATCTTCGAGTTGATGCTAGAAGAGCTCAGCGCTTTGATGGCTGCTTGGCTATCGGATAAAACCGCGATCTCCTTCTTCCGGTATTTCCTGTCAAGGTTGAACTGGATGCATCTTTCTATGGCGTGTATTTCCGCTTGAAAAATGCTGGGGAATTGTCCCATGGATTCGAAGTATTTGATGCGAGGCCCAAAGACTCCTGCTCCAGTTCCCTCGGGTGTTTTAGACCCGTCCGTATACCAAGTAATGGTGTTTCTTTCCAGCGCTTCCATGGATTTTATGTTCCATTCGCGCTTGTTGCTCCGTTCCACTCGGAAGTTCTTCTCAAAACTGAAATTCTTAATGATTTGGTCTGTTGGAAGATCGGCGAGGTGTGCAATCTCAGCGGGGGGTGAGCCCCTTGCACTGTGCGTTTTCCCTCTTAGTCCGACCTTGGCTAATCTGAGATGTGCTCCATAGGCAGTGCTCCTCACCACGATGTGTAGAGGTGTGAGATCCATCATTCCTTGCTCGCACTAAAGTCTCTTGAAGACTTCTGAGGGTTGCTCGCAAGCAGGCAACCAAATGGCGGATAGAACAATGTTAGATTTTTTTAGGTAGATGTCACGTACTGCTTGTATCGTAGCACATTCAAGATAGTTGTTACATGGTTAGTCCATTGTAAAGGGCAACCAAAAATTCTTCTCCAGCATCAGCAATTAGCATTGGTTGGGCTGATGGGCCCAAGAATTTCCCAACGGTCTTTTCTGATCTGCTCTGTGTTTGCAAAAACATCGTATGATTTTGTTCCACTGCAGACTGAGATTAGTGCATCAACTGAGGCTTTTTCCGTTTCCATGACATCAGCAGATAGACGTTTGGAGAAGTGTTGAGACAAAGGTGTTGAGACACATCATAACTGTCACAAGATTATTGGGTGATTTTTTAATGAAAAGTATAGCTGCTTTCAAATCACAGTCGTCAGAAAGTGAATATATTACAGTTTTCACAAAAGTTGGTAGATACTGGCTTTTTCAAATGACGATAGCGACCCTATGAATCTCCAGCTTCGAGTACTCCAACATTCTCCGTACTATGCGTCGTTTGCATGGGCAGAAAACCGGACAAACACCGAAACTTTCGAGAACTTTTGAGTTTTTCGACCTGAGCCGGTACTATTACGAGGCAGAAACTTCAGATTCGCTTCCGGACCCCTTAAAACATACCGGACTCAAGTTGCCTGCTGCATCTAGTCTCCCGATGATCTAAGTAGTCATCAGTGATTACACTGTTTGCCAGTAGTCGATCTATCTTGCCTCCTAATATATTTTTTCGGTGATATCGATTATTCCATGACTACTGGCAAGCTGTGTATATAACAACTTGGCCATTGACTGTGCATTCGGTAGCTGTTTCGCTCCTGTGAATTTCAGAATTGAACCCCCATAATTAGGAAAGATAGAGGGGAGCTTCCATCAGAAGTGAGTCACGCTGTTAAGTGACTCCCCTACCGAATTCATTCCTAAGAAATCACCATTACTCGAGGATTTTAAATCTACGTAATTAATGATAAATTTATAAAAACATGTTACCTAAGTAGATAAAACTGTCAATAGCGTGTCAATGATATGCAATACACACACATATAGATACCGCGTATGCAACCACTGAAAAATGAAACATTATTAAAACCAAATATAGTTGAAACTACAAATCTTTTTACAGCTGGAAGCAATTTTTGAAGTATGAAAAATGTTATTCTTAAAATGTGAAAACACAAGTCATACGTGTGCTGTCACTGTCATGTGTGAATTCGACGAAGAATTCGAATAACCATGACTCTCGATATGATATATTCTGTACCAGTTCAATGATTGTTCAAAGGTATCATATGTGCGATTTTCATGAGGTTTAAATAGTTCGAAACATTTTGATAAATACTGTTTTTTTAATATCTACTTGCGATATTTATCAGTAACCCTCCTAACTTCATGCATGCTGGGTACACGCTTCCTATGCCACTTATTTGCTCTCTCGGTTTTGTAGTTATTCACAATTTCACCTTTAATTTCAATATGATTTTTATACAGCCAAGACAGACAGACAGCCAAGTTGAATTTCCTTTTACTTTGTTTGACAACTGAACTCCTAGGCTATACCTACTTGATATATCAAAATTTTAGTAAAATGCTGAACAATAATGAATATACACGGTGAAGGGCATTGCTCCTTCAATGGAAATAAAAGAGTGAGTAGTGGAAAAAATATTATGTATACCTCGGGTGAGAATGTTATTATACAAAAAGATTTTTTAAACATATATTTTTTCGGGGATGTTGATGTATCATAGAAAGTATTGCTCTTAAAAAAATTTCATACGAGTTTTTTTTTGTAGAATTATCGTATCCTTTTATTTGAAAGAAAATATTTTGGTCCTAAAATCAATAGGAATCGAGAAAATCGCAATACACCATTTCAGAGAAGGGTTTCTGACGTTTTAATCGAGTGTTAAATTACTGCCAAATGTCTGACATAGCCTCTAACACCAATATGTATACCTGAAACCACACTAATATTTCAAGATGAGATTGTTCTCTATCAAGGCACATTTTTTTTTGAAGTGATCAATTTTATAGGGCCTTTAGGCACTTTCTGGGATGTGAGTTAACCGGCAAACTCGCGTCACGGAAGCGCACGTACCATAAGACCGGCATTATCATAAGTGTATACCTATAAGTATATATATACGACGGCAGTTGAGTTATCGAGTCTGCTGGTTGGCTGTGTATAGCTAACACTGTAACGATACAATCGTTACATTTATATTTAATATCCATTAATGATCATTGTCGTCCCTCTATGTATAATTATTAGAACTTCAGCTCACAGAACCGCAGGAACAGATCAACCGCACATTGATCAATTAGTGATCTGTATCATCATAAGTTCCGTTCAGGATAAAAAAGTTAGAGGGCGACAGAATCGAATTGAAAACGACAAGAGGTTCATGATTTGCATGAGCTCTTCCCTTTCTGAATTTGGCAGCGAAATCAACAGGTTGATTCTCCATTTTGGGATAAATCCCAACTATCTTTATGTTGAATTTCTTACCTTTCTCCGCAAAAATATCAGAGTGGTTTCGTGTTTAATTGAAGATATTAGACAGGTACGTAGTATGATTCCAATTTAATTGCTTTAATTGTTATTGTGCACGCAAATTTTTGACTGCGAAATTTAGCAGCATGGCGGCTTGAGTGAATGTTCACAAATTTTTTCAAAGGTTCAATCTTCGATTATCGTTGTAATCATTTTGAATTTTCGATGAATGTTAATTTCCTAGGAGGAAGCATTGCTCGAATGTCCAGTGGCGTAGCAGATTGATGTGTTCATCGTTCGTGCATCGAAGTCACAGATACTCTGATAACAAAAAATGTCCATACATCATTCACCTCATTTATAATACAGACGGTGACTAATAAATACTTTTGACAAGATACAATTTGTTTCTCATTCTTGAAACTTCTCTATCAATATTTTCAGTTCTACTTCATCCTTTTCGCGAATACGTGGAAATATTACATGAAATTAATATTACTTCATTCAGATTTCCCCCGTATTGTCCAGAAGATATTGTAAATACTGACCGGACATAGAAATTATCACTTTCGACGTGTGGTCCTACGCATACAAGTTTTTTATTTTACTAATATTAGTGAACTAGGGCTATATTCCGAATTCAACTGGTCAGTACTGTCAGTAAATTCACTGACTCTGCTGAAAATCTGTATTCCGAAATATAAAATCAAAAATACAGTGTTGTAATTCGGAACACGTTTTCAAGGTCAGTAATCAGCAGCAGTTGATCAGCTGGTGAAATTTGAATATCATTCTCAGCGTTAACTATCTTAATAACATTATTATTGATAAGACACGACTCAATGTTTAAAAACAACGGAAATGAATATGATATATTCCTTTCCCCTCTAAAATTATGACAGTTCACTGAAGCCACACTACTTTTTGATAGTCAGCAATTTCTACAGAATGTTGAGTAGAAATATTTGGAATGAATAGTATGTCTGCTCACAAGTATCTGTCACTTTCAGTGAATTGATGGGAGAAGGAATGTAACATTTATTCACGTTGTTTTTCAAACATTTGAAAGGTCCAGGGGGAAAACGGCAACAGTCCATTTTCATGCAAAATTGAGCTAACAGTTTTTTTTTTCATGGAATATTGTAGTAAGTACCTATCAGATAATAAAATCGTTAAATGGTTAAAGTAGCTTAGGTCCGCAAAACAAACCCTTGGTCAATTCCTGCTGCTATGGACGCCTGATACAGGGAAAAAGTGGCATGTGTCCATGCCTAAATATTTTTTTGTTACGTCATTAGTTCTAAATGAATGTTGATCTTGTTTATATTCTTGCAAAAAACCATGTTATTTACTGAAAAATTTTGTTGGTGACTTATTTTCTTTCAATCTTAGTTTCTAACAAGTAATTAAACTTATATTTTCCATTTTCTTGAAGTCCGTCCTAATGGATTATTGTCGTTTTTCTCCTGTACCCATCATTTAGTTTTGACTTATCAATAATATCATATTCATTATCAGAAAATGCCTGTCATTAAAATAATTGACGCTGAGAATGATATTCAAAGACCAGCTGATCAACTGCTGTTGATTACTGATGAAAACAAAATACAGATTTTCAGCAGAGTCAGTAAATTTACTTACAGTACTGACCAGTTGAAATCGGAATATAGCCTCAATGTTTATTTAAAAAACAACGGAAATAAATGTGACAATCATGCCCCTCTAAGATAATAAGAGTTCACTGGAACCACACTACCTTTATTTAGTCAGCAATTTCAGCAGAATGTTGAGTCGAAAGATTTGGAATGCTCACAAGTATCTGTAACTTTCAGTGAGTTTTTTTGATTTCGAAATGAGAAATCTGCGGATTTAGTCAGTTGAATTCGGAATATAGCCTAGATGTCATTTGCATTCCCATTTGAAGGACACCACAATTCACTTTCTTCTTTGCTGATGATAATATGCGAATCCTTTTCACAAACTGAAGATCGGAATTTTTCGGAGAAAGTGACATAATCGTTTTTAATAAAAGTGTACCTTAGGTGTGTTGGTACTGATAATAAGGCTGCCTCTTCTGGAGTAGTATATTTTGGGACAGAGCTAACATTTCCTTCATTCTCAGCGGATTTTTCTTTTCCCTTCCGTTTTGATAATTCAACCTCAATAAATTTCATCATTTCTTCATCTTCATCCCTTTTATTAGTTTCTACTGAAAACTGTGTTCCGATTCCTGTATCATATGCATCATCTACTTGTTTGAGCTGTCCTGTTTTCAGTGCCTGCATGTTAACCATACCGCCAACTTGCAAGTTGTAATTGTCTTTCTGAAATTGTAAGCTGAATATTACATCTTATTCCAATAATATACATAAAATCTGAAGTGTGGAGAGTGAACTATTGGAGTAATAATAGAAATAAAAAAAACTTCGACATCTATCTTTCAGTATATTGTGATGAATGATTTTTGTCGAATATTAGAATTTTTGATATTCTGAAATCCAAAATATTAGACCCCTTCAATTAAAAAACTGTTGCTTTATTTGATTTTCATCAATCATTAGAATTATAAATTAATTGAGAAGAAATATTCTCAGATATACATCATGAACATATAATATATACAGGGTGTATCTAAATAACACCGAAAAAATTCAAGGAGTGTTTCCTTGTGACATTCTAGCAAATAAAGTTCATATAAGCATGTGTCCCAACTTGCTCCGTTTTTGAGATACAGGATGTTGAAGTTGGAAGTATTAATTATTTATATTCATAACCCCCCTGTATAAGCTTTCATGGTTCCAAAATCCAGTATGAATGGAGACTGAGAAAGCCCCAAAATTTCAAAATGATTCTATTTGAGGTTATTGAGTAATCTCAATGGAAGTCTTGAAAACACCTACTTTAAAATTTGGAGTCAAACCAATTTTTATTGTTTCCTCAAAAACTAAGCTAGACAAAAATCGCACAAAGAATAAAAAAGGTGTTATTTCAATATTTCAATCTAATGAAAATATAAAAGTCGTCACTGTGACGCCACTGGAAATATTATTTCGAATCTTATTGCACTAGAAGAAGCTCCATATTACTATTAACCAAACCAAGACGTTTTATTGAAATTGATGAAAATACAACTGAGAAATGAATAGAAAAAAGATTTTTCATGGAAATGGTAATACCCTGTATATCGAAAACGAAACAAGTTAGAACACATGTTTATAAGAACTTGATTTCCTAAAGTATCACAAGGAATCACCCCTTGAATTTTTTCGGTGTTATCCAGGTATACCCTGTATATACATCGTGTCCCACTAAGGTCGGCGAGGTACGATATTATGGAAACCATAAACCTGACAGCTTCGTGAAAAACATTTTTTGACAAAATCGACGATGTGAAATTGATTCAAAATATTTTGTAGTTTCAAAATGACCGGTAGGGGCGAAGCTACTATGATGCAACGAGAATTTATCGTTGTGTTGGTCTCTAGACTTTTTTTCGTATCTTTAATAATAATTGTGGGGGAAGTTTGTGAACAAAATATTTTTCGAATTGATGTATCTTCCATATCCAAATTCAATCAACTTGGGCTCGTTTGAAAGATAATTTCAAACTCATTCAAATACTGACTGCGTTATTCAAGGTCGCTAGTTCATTACATTACTTTTTTTAATATACATCATCAATCATTGTTAAGCTACTTAACTAGCAACAGCCAGTCGGCATTGTCATAAACTTCACACAAAGTAAAAGACAAAATACTTGTTCAAACTAAAACTACAATATACCACAGGTATTACAGTCAAGATTACATTAGTACAGTGAAGTTTAAGGTCATTTTTCAACTTTTTCTTGAATATCGTTATTGGACTACATATTATTCAACTACCCTATTTTGTAAAAACATAAAATTCACAAAATGGTAATAGAAACAGAAAAGTTGATCAATTTCTTAGATTTGACAATGAGTAAAATTAATGATAAACATGATTTTTCAATTTTCCATATACCTTCCCACACTGATATCAATATTCATAATCATTCAACACACCCTTATCAACATAAAATTGCAGCATATAATAATATGATAGTCACAGGCTAGTGAATGTCCCTCTTTTAGAAGAAAATTTCAATAAAGAACTCAATATCATAAAACAGATTGCAGTCAACAACGAATACAACCTTAACTTGATAGACAGTATTATTTCTAAAAAACTTCATAATAAAGCTATTCAAGAAGTTTATCTTACCATCACGAATAATAATCAAAATTATAGAACTTTAACCTATTTCGGATCATCAACTGAAAAATTGCCTTCATTTCTACATAAACAGGGCTTGAGAGTAGCATATAGAACAAATAACACGTTGGGAAGGTTTATCAAAAATAATAAAGACAAAACTTTTAAATTCTAAAAATGAGGGGTATACAAACTTTTTGATAAAGAAAACTAATTCAGCGCCAACAATATATTAGAAGAAAACCATAGTTCTGATGATAATTGCGAAATTCTACACGTAGAAAATGAAGGAATGAAACTCAATCATTTTGAATCATTAGAAATCAACAAACTAAAAAATTTTGACATTTCACCTAACGATCAATTAGACCTCAATAGTTCACCACTGTTGAGTTTGTTTTCTTAGTAGGTAATAATATTTATTTGCTATCAGCCCTTTCATGTTAATCCGGTACACCGTATTTTAATGTAGATATATATATTGTGCCTAATTCTAATTTCCATAAATGAAGGTTTACCGAACTTGTCCACAGGTAACTGATCCTACAAGTTGGGAAAGTTTAGTTCATTGTACCAGTATATCACCTGACGAAGCTACTGTGTTAGCGAAACATGTTGTGTGTTAAAGAATATTGTGGAAATCTTATCGATTGTGAAGTATTTACATTTGCCATGGATTTCCATCAAGTATCGACCGAGTCAATGAAAAAAAAGATAACAACCAATTTCCTGGCAAATAGCCACTTTCCAGTAGTATTATTCAAAGTGCTCTCGCGTTATCTTCAACTATATATTGTTAACTAGAGTAGTTCTGTATCCAGAAGGAATGTCGAAATGAAGTCATTTTGAAGGAAATATTGACGAACAGTGTTTTTGATTTTGAAATGATATTTTCTTATTCGCTATTTCCTTCAAGATGACTCCCTTGCTACATTTTTCTGGATAGAGAACTTCTCTAGATGCCAATAGACAGTTGAATATTACAGGATAGCACGTTGATATATAGCCATCTAGTCGCAAGGATCCTGGTATGAGAATTCAAATATGACCTCCAAAAGTTCAAAATAAACCAACACCTACCTCCTCTCCCCATCCTCCTTAGATACGAACGATGTTCCACGAACATTATAGGAATTTCCTTTCGTGCGCTCCAAGAGATGAACTCATTTGCCGACATGGGTGCGGGGAGGGGGAAGGCGGAAGCCTCCTCCCCTGGAAACGCACATTGAGGATTTTGATCATATACCTAACTGTTATCGTTAAAATATATGTTTATAAGAAATATGAAGTACATTGTGTTATATTCCCTGCATAGTCAACTCTATATTATACATTATTATTCACCACTTATGGGCATCTAGACAAAACGTCAGAACCGAGCGCGAGTATTTATTTATTTATTTATTAATTTATTTGTGGATCATCCAAACAGATGAACCTTAGTGGTTCATCCTTTAATAGGAAGATACATAGTAACATGTAAACATTATAACAAAATATCAATAGCTATGACAATATGTTGAGAGTTTTTACTTACATACTAAGGTGCAAATTTTATAGGTGCAGTAAGAAATACTCATAATATAATAGTAGAAATAATAATAATACAAACTATTTTAATTATCAACTGATGTGGGAGCATAAAAATCAAGCAAGAATCGCCGCAGTTTCTTCTTGAAGCTAATCATATTCGAATAGAACAAATCAATATTCGAGTGACAAATTGTGTTGTAAGCATTCATGCATCGGATCATTGGAGAGTTGCCATAATAGTTAGTTAAATAAGAGGGTGGGTAGAAGGTGAGGCGATTTCGCACAAGTCTTGGGTTACAGTTCGAAACTAAATATTCAGTGCAATTTGGTGAACTCCCTTCTGATTAACATTGATTCTATTTTATAAAAGTTCAAATTAGATTCATATGTAAAATGATGACGATATTGGAAAAATCTGAAGTTAAGATATTGGAAAAATCTGAAGTTGAGAGCATATTGAGTTGATTGAGAGAGACCTCTCTTCTGATCCTGACCACCGAGCAAGACAGACGAGTTAAAAGATGGAGAAGTTGCGAGCCGTTTGTGCATGGCTAACCAAGTAATAGTAATTTATAGACCAAGGTAGTAAAGAATATCATTATTACCCAGGAAACAAGATTATATCCCGAGGCTTCAGCCGAGTGGTTAAGGTCCTGTGGTAATGATATTCTTTACTACCATGGTGTATATTACATTTTTTTCACCACAAAATATATTTCAATCATTATCGTTCTGTGAAACTGAAATATGGACCTATTTTCACTATGAATGCACTTCCCTTCAATTCTAATCAAAATAATAACCATGACTATGACAGCATGCATATGTCAAGTCGTGGTCAAGTCGTTATTGATAAATACCTACGTACTAGATCCGAGTCCCATCTCTGCGGATATCGAATTAGAACAGTGAATTCGGGTTAATTATAACAGAGTTGGCTATGTCATATGTGACTAGTGGTTCATAAAATGACGAAAACTACCTTGGTCGTAAAAACACACTTTACGCCTCGAAAAGGAGTAGGTAAATAATGGTAGGTTCTATGCTAGTGGTGAAAAAAATGTATTTTGTGTTCTTCTCTCTTACTTCTCGCCCTTCCCGGTGAGTACCTATAAGCATATTATGGTAAAACTGCATTTATCATGCGATGTTTTTTTTTTCAAAAACTTTTTTTGGTACTTACGTATTTTTGTCTGCAAAACATGAATTTGATGATGAAAATATGAGCGAACCATTATTTATCAAGATATTTGACTATAAAGTTACAAATTTCACCTTCTTTTCGCCTGTCTTCTGGATGGCATTTAGAATAATTTTCCCTTCTTTTTTTATCATATTGGACAATTTATATATATCACAATGTATGACACATTTTTTTCTATTATATGATTCAACTATGAATATGAATTTCTTGAGATTTATCCATATTTAGTGAAAAGAAGAAAGAATATCTTTTAAAATAATGGCGTTATTTCATTCCAAAGCAATCTATTTACATTTGACATCTTGTATTATGATTGACTATTGATTAAATGGCCGTCATCTGGAATGCTTG